TATATATATATATATATATATATATATTTATTTTCTTTTAACAATTTTTAAATGTCAAAAATATATTTTTACTATTCAATAAACATTGTGTTTTTTATAAAAAAAAAATTCTGGCACTAAAATAATTATGAATCCTCATTAACCATCAACATTACATTTACACTAAACAGCACAAAAATGGGACAATATTCAAAATAAAAATATAATTATTTATTTTAAATACATAATTCATTTTTAAACCATTTCATTTAAATCATAACGAATCAATTCACTAAAATTAGACTTTCCAACATAACGTACAAGAGCGAGTGACATTGGAGAGCATTTTTTGCAGGATCTTAACAGCACAAACACCGCATTTTGTATGTTTTGAAAAGGTTGGAAAAGGCCCAGGAAGAGAAGCGCACCGTGGCGGTAGAGAAGAAGAATCTAGAGGAAAAGATGAGGGACGAGATTCAGGGTGCTCAGGAAGAGGCCAACCGCCTGCACAAACTCCGAGATGGAGCAGTGAGTGAACTCACCCGTCTTTGGTATGCAGAAGAAGAGCTCGGACAGGTTAGGATCTGCATTTCTCATTGTTAAACATCTCCCAACAAGACTCCACTTCACCCCATGGTACTCTGTGCTCCTCGTAAAGGTGCGTGGTGCATTGAAGAGGGCCGAAAAAGACATGCAGTCCTGTTGGTCAGTTCCTGAAACTTTGCAGCTGTGGCTACAGCTCACCCATGAGGTGGAGGTCCAGTACTACAACATCAAGAAGCATAGTGCAGTACAACAACTCGTTACAGCGAAAGATGAGGTATTTTAGGGATGAACGAGTCTCAAATGTATCACCATGCATGGGATCAGTTTGAATCATATTTTCAGGTTTCAGTTGTTTAGCCTTTGGAATTAAAGCAATTGTTCACCCCAAAATGAAAATTTGCTGAAGATTTACTTACCCACAGGCCATCCAAGCTGTAGATGAGTTTGTTTCTTCATCGGAACAGATTTGGAGAAATTTAGCATTACATCACTCGCTCACCAACAGTGTTGGGGAAAGTTACTTTTAAAAGTAATGCATTACAATATTGCGTTACTCCATGACAAAGTAACTAATTACGTTACTTAGTTACTTTTTATGGAAAGTAATGCATTACGTTACTTTTGCGTTACTTCTTAAATCTGGACAGGGCTTGCTTGTTTGTTTTTAAAATAAAAAAGTTATATTTTTACCAAATATAAAAGCCTTTTCACACCAAAAGTGAAATGAATAAGCCTCAGGCTGAAGGGAAAGTAAATTTACGTCCGTACAGTAGAATGCAGAAGAAGAAATTTCAACACACTTCAGCAATAAAAAAAGACACACAAATGTTTGTCAAGAGTAATTTTTGCTTATTAGTACGGTTGAACTGGATCATCGAAGGTCAGAAGCAAAGACATTGGTTAATAGAATGGGATTAAATACATAAAGGATATTTGTGTTGTTTAACGTAATTATTGCAGGTTTGCATCATATTCTGAGTTGCATTATTTGTATTCATTTTGAGGAATACTGAATCTGTGTTTTTTTTGTGAGTGAGATAATGCATATTCATATTTATTTTAGAACTACAGTTACATCTTCTGATTTCTCTCAACATGGGGACAGGAGACTTGTCAATCAATAAATTGGGAAAAAAAAAGTAACTTGCGTGACTTATTTTAAAAAGTAACTCAGATATTCCCTTGTAAATTAAAAAGTAATGCGTTACTTTACTAGTTACTGGAAAAAAGTAATCTGATTACGTAACTCACGTTACTTGTAATGCGTTACCCCCAACAATGCTCACCAATATATCATCTGCAGAAGAAACAAACTCATCTACAACTTGGATGGCCTGAGGTTGAGTAAATTCTCAGCAAATTTTTATTTTTTTGTAAACTATTCCTTTAATATTTACAATCTATAATTATTTATTCACTCTGTGTTTTTGCACAGGCTGAGAAGATCAAGAAAAAAAGGAGTTCTTTGTTGGGTACACTATATGTTGCTCATAGCTCCTCATTGGATCAAGTGGATCAGAGAATTCTGGAGGCCAAGTAATTAGTTTTATCGCATTTAAAACTTAAGCCATTCTGAAAAAAATAATGCAATGAAGTTGATAAAATTGTCAATGTTTGCCCAAAAAATTTTGGGAAGCTAGTGTATCTATGCTAAGCTTCATATTTCAAAAGGGAATGTTCGAAGCATAAGTACACTTAGTATGGGCTTACATTGACCTGCATGTATTTTGTCAAGGAATGCACTAGCAGAGGTGACTGCTTGTCTACGGGAGCGTCTGCACCGGTGGCAGCAGATTGAGAGCTTGTGTGGTTTTCCTGTGATGAAAAATGCAGGCCTACCCAGTCTCACTGCTTCACTCTACCCAGACCCCAACTGGATGCTAATGCCCCGGGCTGCAATTCAGTCCTATCAAATGCCTGTTTCGGTGGAGGACATGGAAGAAGAAATGCAGCAGATTATACCTCCGATTCCTGGTTGGTACTTGTGTTTTTTCTTTCTTAGTTTATTACAGTTTCTTTTTTCTGTTTTATATATATATATATATATATATATATATATCTCCATTAAGCTGAGTGAATTAAATATGTCAACCATTCAGATCATTAAACACAGTGAAAAGCTGTGAGAGTTTTCTGACTGATTAAAAAAGGTGCATTGCTCATCTGGCTGCAGGAATGAGTCCCAAAACCCAGAAATGCACTTGTGGTTCTGTTGTCATGAAGTCAATAGTTGTTTGAAAATGCCTGAAAAAAGCTTGAGGTGTTTTCGAGTTGTATTCTTTAACATAGCATAGTAATACCCCAGTCAGGGTTTTCTTGTAAGGTTTTAGGCATCTTGAAAAAGCCAGTTGCTAACAAGTGGCTAAATGAGCCTAGAGAGTTTGTCATGGACATTAACCATCATCAATTGCTGGGCAGTCGTGGCTTAATGGTTAGAGAGTTGGACTTGTAACCCAAAGGTCACAGGTTAGAGTCTCGTGGGAGTGAATGACCAGCACTCTCTTCCACCCTCAATAACACGACTGAGGTGAGACCCTCGAGCAAGGCACTGAACCCCCAACTGCTCCCCGTGTGTGCACTTGGATGGGTTAAATGCAGAGCATAAATTCAGAGAATGGGACACCATACTTGGCCACACATCGTGTCACTTTCACTTTCATCAAGATTAAAAGATTTGTCAGAAGCTTAGTGGTGGTGACATTGAAGTCATGTGTAGTTTAGTTTATAACTTATGGCCTGTCCACACGAACGCGGTTATTTTTAAAACCGCAGCTTTTTCTACACGGTTTGGCCGTTCGTCCACACACAAACGCAGCACCAGTTCACTGAAACCGCACATTTTTGAAAACACCTGCCAGGGTGAAGATTTTCAAAAACTCTGGTTGCAGTGTTATCATGTAGACAGCAAAACCGGGGTTTTTGGCTTGTGACATCGGCGCCTGCGCTGTTATCTCCGCCTACTGGAAACAGCTACTTTTCAGGCTTCTGATTGGCCAACATGGCTTTACGGTTGAGATTATATCACCACCTGTTGGCTTGGCATGCTCTTGACAGTGCTTCATAGCATGCGTTTGCGTTTTCATGTGGTCAGAGATTTTTTTTAAAACATAAGGAAAAACTCAGTTTATAAAAATACCCGTGTACGTGTGGACATGGCCTTATTGCTTCTGCCAATTGTATTCAGGCTTTACAATTCATAAAAATTGTGCTAATTTGTAAAGATTATCTTTGATGAACAAAATGTGTAAGAATTACTTTTGTTTTACTGCTTTCCATCAGGTAGAAAAAAGTTTCCAACACATTGCAGCACAATGCTCAAAGATTCTTAAAAATACTGGTACTTTACAATAAGGTTCAATTCATTAACATTAGCTAATGCATTAGGTATTATCAACTAAAGTTTTACAGCAATTATTAATCCAGGTTAATGTTAATTTATGAATATCTTCTTTGTGTGAACATTTGCTGAGTGTCCCTCTTTCTGACAGGGAGTCTATGGAAACATCTTCAGATACAGATTCTATGGGGTCCTCCATCAACAGAATGTACAGCACCCTTGATGTTTCTCCTCGAAGAAAATACATTTTCTCTGACAACATGCCCCGAAAGATCTCCCTGGATGAACAAGAGGACAGCCCCTCCCGCAAGATCTCCGAGGAAGAGATGGATGAATCTTTGGTGAACACCTTAAGGAAAGTTTCACGAGACGAACTTGATACTCCATCAAGAAAGACATCTAGAGATGAACTAGAGGCCACTGTGGACCATCCTAAACAATTGGGTAGAGGAGAAACTGAGGCTAGCATCGATTCAAGGAAATTCCCCAGGGATCTACCTTTGGATTCCACAATGAGGTACTACTCTACAGAAAAGATGTGTCCAGTAGCGATCAGCATGGATAGTCAGAGACAACGATCACTCAGAGACAGAAAAGACCATATGGACAGCATTTCAAAAGTGATACCAAAAGCAGAGCTCAATATAGACACCACAAGTGGAACAAGATATTCAGATGCCTTAATGAACACTTCCATTAAACACAAAGAAAACCTGGATTTTCCAACCAGTATCCAGCGAGGAAGAGTGTTTAGGGAAAGCTCCTTTGATGCCACCTTTGATAGTTCAGTGGAAAGCTCGAAACAATTAAAAATGTTAGGCAAAACATATTCATCCAAAGACATCCCTTCACGAATGATGGCACAAGATGATTTTGATGTGTCCACGGATTTCGAAAGACAGAAAATAAGAGATATTTCAATGGATACGGCTTCAAAAAACATACTGAAAGAGGAGTTTGAGAGAAGCAAATCCTTTAAAGAGAACAGGGAAATTCCCTCAAAAAAAATCTCTCGAGATGAGCAAGACATTGCAATGGAGACGCAACGAATACAACGTAAGATAGACAGCTCTGTGGAAACTCCCATTGGTAAAATACAGAGAGAGATGGTGGGTCTATCTGTGGAGGCTCCAAGGTGTAAGATATCGCAGGAAGAATTCCTGGTTACGAACCCTGGACAGTTTGGCCCGTCTGACCTAACCGTTTGCTCCTTGATGCTCTGGAAATCAGCCTCAGACTCGCTCAGCACACTAGTGTATGATGGCATTCTAGAAAAGTCCTACGGGAACCCTCTCATGCCTAGTCCTGATGATCTCAGTCACGCGGCTTCAGTGTCTTGTTCTTTCCATAGCCTTCTCGGAAATGAAGGTCAATCTGCAAATGTCTACTTCAGAATTTGGTGGTAAAGACAAGGGCAAGACATCTTCAAAGCTCAAGAATATATTCAAAAAGAAAAAGGATTTAGAAAAATATAAAGACTCATAAAGGTCAACAACAAGTAGGAATTCAGACACTTTTAAAAGGCCAAAGTCTCTTATAAAACTGGCTTGGAAAGCTGCCTTGTAAACTAGAACATAAGCATAGCTAAACATGTTGAATGGAGTAACCTTGGATTTTCTTGCAAAAGGGTTTTAGATAAGCAGGGCCCTCAGCTAAACGGATGCAATCTTGTGAAACAAGGAGCAGAACTGCACTTTTCCAACTTGGATTCAGAGATACTGTATTACGTAAGATGGTCTGTCCTGTGAAGCTGCCGAGATATTAATTGCACATTTTTCTTTCTTTATTGTGGGATCTATTCATCATTTGAAATAATTTGCAATGACATGGACATGTGGAGTTTTTGCTCTGATGAACTGAGACTTTTGCATATTAACAAATCATTGTAGCATTGAAGACACAATCACAACATGCTCAACCTATTTATTTGATTACTAAAGTTTTCACAAAATGTCAGGAAAAAAGAAGACAAATCCAAATGACTACTAAAGGTTGCCTAAGATACTGTATTTACAACAGGACTAGCAAAAATTGTATATAAAAATATGAGCCTATTATTCATAAATGTGTTTCAATGTATTGGATTTGATTCTAATGAAGCTTTAATTAATTGCTAGTTAATACAGATGGAGCTAGGTAATAATCTAATAGGATTATATTAAAATGTTTACATTTTTGCTGGTCCTCATCATCCAAAGTTAAAAAGTTGCAGTTAGATGAAGTATTTAATTATATGTTTGATTGGGCATCAAACACTGACAATTATTTTATTCAATGTAGTTTATTGACGTTTTTGACCTTGACCTTAGATTTTTTTATGGCCTGTGTAAGTATTTCACATTTTAAGTCAGTTAAGTCTGTTTTGGTGGTGTCTGTCTGATTTTATTGTACACCACTTTGAGCAACATTTTTTTTTCAGTGTGCAATAAAATAGATTTGACTTGGGGAACTATTCTTCTTGAAATTACATTTATCCTAATGCCATTTCAGATATTTTGAGGGATCCTGCCCTTTTCCATTCAATGTGTTCTTGTGAAAATATGAAATATAAATTAGATTTAAAAATAATATTAAAGGAATAGTTTAACCAAAAATGACAATTTGCTAAATATTTACTCACCCTCAGGCCATCCAAGATGTAGATGAGTTTTTCTTAATCAGCACAAATTTGGAGAAATGTAGCATTACATCACTTGCTCACCAGTGGATACTCTGCAGTGAATGGGTGCCGTCAGAACGAGAGTCCAAATGGCTGATAAAACCATCACAATAATCCACAAAACTCCAGGCCACCAATTAACATCTTGTAAAGTAAAGAGCTCAGTGTTTGTAATAAACAAATCCATCACAAACATGTTATAACTTAAAACGAGTCGTCTATCCATAATGTCGCTTTCTCCAATGAATAAGTCATCTGACTCCGGAAAGAACTGTGCACAGATCCAACACAATTTATAAGTGAAGACCATTCAAAAGAGTTCTAAACAAATATGTTGGCAGGTTTTGGTCTGAGAGGACAAAAGGGAATAGACATTTTCACTGGAGGAGCGTTATTATGAATTATAGACTCTGGATTGTTGAGTATTTTGGTCAGAAGTTTAAGTTTAAGTGCCTTGATTGATTTGCTTCTTACAAATACACAGCTTTTCACTTCACAAGAGGTTAATTGATGGACTGGAGTGGCGTGGATTACTTGTGGATTATTGTGATGCTTTATCAACTGTTTGGACTCTAATTCTGACGGCACCCATTCACTGCAGAGGATCCACTAATGAGCAAGTGAAGTAATGCTACATTTCTCCAAATCTGTTCCGATGAAGAAACAAACACATCTACAACTTGGATGGCCTGAGTGTGAGTACATTTTCAGCAAATTTCCATTTTTGGGTGAACTATCCCTTTAATCAAAATGTTGATTAAACCTTGCTGGAAATGTGCATTATAGCAGTCAGGGGTTTACAGCTCTTAATCACCTTGAAAATAGCCATAAAATATGTCCAGGCTGCTACAATTAACACTTCAGAGCCAAAGTTAGTGTCTGGATTTGCCCAAATTTGCACGATTAATGACAATGTCTGTGAATATTTTAGATAAAGAATATGATTGAAAATGGTTCAAACATATGATGTGAAGCAACAGCAAATAAACAAGATATTCACAAACAAAGCTGTAGGCCTATTTGTGTCCAGGTGGAAGTTTTAACCACAACATATACTCAGATTTTTTATTTCTTAGTTGTTGTCTGCCATTATTTTGAATGAGCAACCACTTTGTTGGCTAATCTAAGTAGTTCTGCCAGACTGAATATAAATCTCACTGAAAGCTCTTAGTCAAAAGTTTGATTCTGCATTTTTCTTACCAATTTTAGACATTTTTGATGTTATCAAAAAGGGTGTTTTCCGGTATCTTTTGATGATTTGGTGCTGCAGGTTCTTGTAAAGTGGTAAATCATTTGGTGTTTAACCACAAATGTTTCCAGTGGTTATTACTGTTTTGTTTAGTTTTTTTGGGGAGAATTTTTCTGTTTAATTTTATGTATGTGTGTATTGACTTCATTATTATTATTATTATTATTATAAACCAGACTAATCGATTGCATATTTGAGGTCCACATTTTTAACCTGCAGACACTGTTTTTTGAAACTAAGAATTCAAGTAAGCATGTTAAATTGTTTCATGCTGAAACAGGAAAACCACAACTTTCAAATCTCACTGCACTAGTGCATTTAGAGCTGGCTTTGTTTAGATGACAAACCTGAATATGTGGGTAGAGGCTATGGTTATGGAAACAAGCAATTGTACATGTCATCAGGCTGCAGAGCAATACACATCACAAGCAAAAACATTCTCATAAAAACACATACAAAACATGATCACATTCAACTAATTCAGACATTTAGAGGCCAACGCAAACATTGATCTTCACTGAAGAATTTAGTGAGTTATCACTAAAGTTCAGAGAGCTTTAGAAAGTGACTGGTATAACAGGATGTGACAGTATGCTTCCTGTTATGGCCTGCTTTAATGTTACCACTGAAATTCTGCTAAGGGCTTTTATAATGACAGTTAAATCTCAACATGTTGTCACTACAGTATATCAATTCAGCTTCAGTTAGACATGAACTGATTTGCACAAATGATCTTCTGTGATGTGCTGACAACAATATCATATTTGATACATTTAAAAAATTGTAAAGATCACTTTATATCAGAATGAAAGTGTATTTTTTGACTATTTTATTTTGAGAGTTTTATGAAATGAAACTTTATGCGAGTTTAACAACCAGATGATAGACATAATGTGTACTAATTCAAATACTAATGAATTTGATAAAACCCACAATCTAAGCAAAAGGAAAAAATCCCCGACCTTTAAGAATTTCAAAGCCCTTTATCAGAAATCCCTCCCACCACAGTCAGCCAGGCGACATTTACATTGAAGACCCTTTGCTTTTATCTTATCAGTCACCGAGATGGAGCGAGCAATAGTTATTGTCATCGCGCTTGTATGTAAGTCCATTTTAGTGTTTTTTTTGTTGTTGCGTTCTTTTGATTTTATTGACAGTCCTCTTTCAAATATATGAACTTACATACGTATTTTTGCTTTTGCAGGTGTTTTGTTCTGTGAACAGCAGAGAGTCTTTGGGGCAGAAGTGGACATGAGAGTTAAAGCAGGAGACAGCATCACTCTCTACTCTGACTGTGTCATACCATCAGGATCACACATTTTTTGGTGGAGAAACTGCTCACATGAGCATCAACCGTCTCTGTTCATAGAGGCTGAAAACCTGTTCCAGAGGACTTTTCCACGTTTTAGTTTTGTGTTCAACAGCTCCAGTAACTCCTATGATCTACATATTACAAATATCAGTGTCTCTGATGAGGGACTGTATTATTGTGCAATAAAAGAAAGAAAAGTACATGATGTTCACGGCATCGTAGGCTCTGAGTACCAGTATGGAAACAGAAGGACTCGTCTATCTCTCTTGGGTAAGAAAATATCCTGGTGTTTAAGTTGTTTCTTCTAGTAAACTGTAAAGAAACTGTTGGCTATATTTGACAAAACCTTGTTACATTTTTATGCTGATAATATACTTTTTAAATATATTTTTTTCATGAAATGGAAAAAATGCAAAATAGAAGCAAAAATTTGGACACAAACCACACATTTATCTACACTTTCACAAAAGGAAATACCCATTTTTTTTTTCCAAGTGATGTGTGTGATAGATAGATAGATAGATAGAAACACAGAACACAGTAACACATCCTTTAAAATATATGCCATAAATATATGAAACTAAGAATACGTCTATACAAAAATGTGTACTTACTTTCACTTATGTTCCATTTATAGAGCCAGTGTCTCCTTATGCTGAGCAGTTCAACACCTCCTCCACACCTCCTGTATCAGACCTCTGCTGGAGTCCGCTGGTCAGTGTGTGTCCAGTGTGTGTTCTCCTCTTCTCCGTCTGTGTTTTCTGCCTCTGTCGGAGGAAAACTACAGGTGATCATTCACTCCTGAACTCAAGAGTTATGATGTGCCAGACAGCAAGCTTCGATCATTCTGATATCGCAAGATTTGCTTTACATTATCATCATATCACAAAATGAACAGTATAAAATGTCACAATTTTAGAGGTTTGTGAACAATGAAATGCATTTTAAAATGTTTTATTTAATCTGAATTAAGCTATTTTAATTATAGTTGCTGCAGCAACACAGGCTGAGAACAGATATTACCAGGTACTGCATCACATGTGCACATCCTGGCATCCCAGTATAACATTTATTTTGTCTCATCAAACATAGTTTGTATTTTGTATACTGATATTAAGTACAATAACAAAATAGGCCTACTGTTTTTTCACAGAGTGAAGATGAAGTGTGCTACGCCTCATTGAACACCCTTTCCATGCTGAAGAAAAAGACACTGCAGAATTCAGACTTCTGTACTTACACTGAGGTCAGAACCAAAAGAACACAAAGAGAGGATTCTGGAACTCTCTAGGGCTTGAAATATTTAACCCTCGGTCATTCTAAACCCCTGGTAAACGCAATCCTGGCTTCTTGCTTCACATTTCACACTGCTCATTATAATTAACCCAGGGATAATAAAAGAAACGGATGTACATTCCGAAACCCTGGGTTAATATTCTTATTTGCATATTGTCAGTGTCATTGATTGGACAAATGCAGCAACTGACCTGTTTACATTGCGCATCCTCATACTTTATATTTCAGACTTGCTGTCCAGCAATGTAAGAATGAAACAGGCTCCTCTTTATTTCTTCACTGACGCGTTTTTACCATTTGACATTTTTGAGACGCCTCAGACGCTAAAACCCGGGGTTAAGCTCACTGAAAAGCCCTAATCCTTAAAGATGCAATACAAAGTCTTTATTGACTACTTGTTACTTCACTTAAATGCTTACCAATCCCGACTGTGTAAATGTGTCCATTGTGAATGCATTTTATTTATGTAAAGAAATCAGAACCAATGTTCCCTCTATTTTTTTTTCTTTCTCGCTGAGCAAAACTTGTCTCTGTTGGGCGGACATTTCGGCCACCTGAGCAAAAACATTTTTTTTTTATATATATATATATATATTTTATAAACAAAAAACAGTAACCAACATAAGATAACAAAATACACATATTTACACCCACACACACAGACAAAAAAAATAAAATAAAATCCTGCCCCATTTAACAAATATATACAACATAGTATTCACAATTGTTTTATAATAGCAAAAACATTCTTTATACAAGACCTGTACAGCGCACATACAAACATTTTTTAACTTCAGTGTGTTATGTCATTTGACCCTTGATGTAACTAAATGATGCACATTTTAGGTTACCTGAGAAAACATTTTTACAATGCTGTGTTACCAAGAATTTTTAAAAATTCACCATTTTTAAAAATCTCTTACACAGAACAGTTAATTTTTTTATAACATAGGCTAATAATATATGAACAAAATGAAGCGGCTATTGTCCATGAATTCCCTTTTCGAGATCAATTATTTATTAGGTTTATAATAATATAATATAATACAATATAGGCTAATATAATGTAATATAAAACCAAACAAGCATTTAAACTGATAGAATTGAATAGAAAACAAACTGAAACTTTTAAACTGAGATATGTAAGCTAAATATTAAAAAAAAACGTGAATTCTTTTACAGAGTTTGCACACTACTACACCTGTGTGTAACTGTACATGTCTGGGAGTTTTGTTACCGTTCTGTGCTCATCATCCGCTATTTTCATCTTTAAAATATGACGTTTTATTTCATGTCATTGCACGACCATTAAAGGGGTCATATGATGTTGCTAAAAAGAACAGTATTTTGTGTATTTGGTGTAATGAAATGTGTTTATGCGGTTTAAGGTTCAAAAAACACATTATTTTCCACATACTGTACATTATTGTTTCTCCTCTATGCCCCGCCTTTCTGAAACGCGTCGATTTTTACAAAGCGAGGTGTGCTCTGATTGGCCAGCTATCCAGTGTGTTGTGATTGGCTGAATACCTCAAGCGTGTGACGGAAATGTTACGCCCCTTACCATATTGTGATGATGCCATGTCCCGGCCGGAGCGACGATTCAAAAACATGAAAACCCATTATAAACGAGGCATTCGTTGCGGCCTACAGTGAGCAGAGACCGGGGGCTAGCGTGAGGAACGGCCAGCGGGCTGAGTGAGCAGAGACCGGGGGCTAGCGTGAGGAACGGCCGTAGGGTTAGAGTGAGCAAAGGCGCAGGCTTGAGAACGGCGCGGCCGGCGATTTCGACGAAGGAGCGTCCGGAAGGACATGATTCGCTTTCTACAGCGACTCGTTTGGCACACATAATTCTCTTTCCATGAAACCTGTAAACCGCATTCACTGGTTCTAATTCTATAGCTCTTTGCCCGAGCATTGCAATTATTTCGCATTTGCTAGAATTCAATCAAATGGTTTTCCCAACTCATTTTTGAGTGTCCTATGTGCACCATATTATGTCTTCTAATAATAATACTCTTCTAATAATAGAATAATAATAATACTCTTTTAATAATTTCTTCTAATAATAATCCCTCTATGCAGCACACGCGCGCTGCATAGAGGGAACACTGGTAAGAACGTACCATAAAAAAAAACTAAACATGAAACAAGTCCGTAATCATGATTATTGTTATAATAAATGTTTATACTGATGTACCGTCTGTTTTTTTCTGTACGGTTTTTTTTGGCAGTTGATCACTATTACATACCCTTGCTGTCTCCTCCCTCACACAGATGCAGGGCTGTTGTAGAAAAACACAGAACAAACTAATTTAATATATACAAAATATATCTAAAACTATAGATTTATTTATCTTTTTGAGTATTTTTTTTTTTTAAATCGCGCTCCCTTGAAAGGGTTTGTTTAGACTCCTCTGCATGTTGACATGATCATTTTTGACTAATTTCATCAAAATTATATTTCATTCTCAGTCAGGAAGGAAACCACAAAAGATTTCCACTTGAGCATTTCACACAAATGTGAAAACGAACAGAACCAAACATCTTGGCAAAAGAGTGTTAAATGTGCCTGCATGCTGCTGATGCAGTGACTTAATTATATTAGAATGATTTCTGAAGGATTATGCAACACTGAAGATATTACTGTTTTACAGTATTTTTTAATCAAATAAATGCAGCCTCTGTGAAAAATGATCAGCCCCAAACGTTTGAAAGGTAGTGCAGCACTGACATTGACATAATTCCACAAGACCTTTATGTCCTCCATTGATTGTTCCACATATTCTGTGGCAAAAGTAGACACGTTAGCAGCACTGACTGTAAAAGCAGATGATATTAGAAATACTACCCATACTTGTTTCCATTTTAGAACAAAACTTTTACTTAAATATTCAAATAAGTGTCAGGAAATGAAGCAGGGTAAACCAAACATATTTACGTATATTCAAATTTGAACCCATCATGAATAAAAACCTTATATTCATGCCACTGATTAAAACAGTCACGCTTGGGTTGAAAGCACAATGGCACTTCACAAGTCACACACATGACTGGAGTTTTCAGGTGGCAGAGCTTGCACTTGCGCCTACCGAGAGCACTGTCTGGCTTGAAGTGCTTGGGCCTGTGGGTTCCTTCAGGAAGTGATGATTCGGGAGATGAGGGAGGAGCTGAAACAGGAGCGGAAGGAGAAGACGAGATGGGAGCCGAGGAAACTGATGCAGATTCAAACCTGTTCTCAGCATCCATTTCTGTAAGCTCTAAAACAAGCATCTCGAAGAATGTCTTCCGTGTCAGAGTTTTTTGTTTTTTTCTCTTGGCCGCCAGTTCATGCAAAATGAACGCATTCTCTACGGCAATGTCCAAAAGGTGATAAAAAACACACTGATACCACTGTTTTGGTTTATGTAGAACTCTGTAATGTCCAGTGATGAAACTGGATGGATCCACTGTCCCCACATTCCTGGGTGGAAAGAAAAAAGACAATATTTTAAACTTAACGGTTAACTTTAAACTTAAAAGGTAAATATTCCTGTGAATAATACACAGGCAAAACACAATGACACAAGTGGCCTCTTAAACAAAACTAGTTGAACAGTTTCAGTTTCAGAGCAGGTTTAGAGTTGACAAAACCCAACAAATTCATAACTGTTTAGATTAGGTTCTGTGGATTCACAACGCTCGCTATAAATGCTCTCTGTCAACTCAGTGTGTGGTCCAGAGTTTGTGATTACCTCAAGAATGCAGCTAACTGCCAATCGCACAACAACACTGAATTTAATAATACTGAATTTAATTTATATAGGTTCAAAAAGAACTTAAAAGGAAACAAGCTTTTTTATATACATTTTAAAGCTTGTATTTATATGTACATATTTATATTGAGTTGAATATTGTCTATACAGTGGGTATAGAAAAGAAATCGCCCCCCTTTATAATAATGACATTTTGTTGCTTTGCAGCCTGAAATGAAGATGGGCACAGTTTTTGTTTTATCCAGCTGTATTTACTCAGTGCAACTTATAACATCCAAGTTAAAGATATAACGGTAACCTGTTAGAAAATAAAAAACCAAACAAACAGATTCACGGAGTTGGAAAAAGTATCACCCCCTTGTGTCAGCATTCTGTTGAACCACCTTTTGCTTTAATTACAGCCTTTAGACTGTTGGGATGTCTCTACTAACTTTGCACTCTTCTTTGCAGAACTGCTCAAGTTCAGTTAAATTTAATGGTGAGCGTTTGTGGACGTGGACTGCAGTCTTCAAGTCATTCCACAGATTTTCAATGGGGTTTAAGTCTGGGCTCCGACAGGCCATGCAAGCACATTCACCTTTTTCTCCTTCAACCACAGTGTGGTCAGTTTTGCTGTGTGCTTTGGGTCATTGTCATGTTGAAAGGTAACCCTTCTTCCCATTGACAACTTTCTGGCAGAGGGCAGCAGATTTTCCTCAAGAATTTGATGGTATTTTGCCCCATCCATTTTTCCTTTTATCGTGACAAGTGCTCCAGTCGCTGCTGCAGAGAAACACCCCATAACAGGATATCACCACCTCCATGCTTTACTGGAGGAATGCTGTTATTTGGATGGTGAGCTGTATTGGATTTCCGCCAGACATATCAGAATCAGAATGAGCTTTATTGCCAGGTATGTTTACACATACGAGGAATTTGTTTTCGTGACAG